ATCTTCCTGTTTATTGATTTGTGAGGAGCAGCCTGGCACTGCTTTGACAGCTCTGAGTCAGTGAGAGCAAAGAAAGAAGCTTTTCAGCTCTTGGGAGGAGAATTGCTGGGCAACATTAAAGAGGGTCTTGTAGAAGCGGGTTTCCTTTGATATGCAGTCAAATTGGCTGTGCTCGGAGTCAAGGTCAGGAGGCTGTGGAAATGCTATGAATATGGTGGGGAAATTAAAGGAGTGTTATTTTAATAAGTATTGTGTGTATGCATGCTGATTGATACAGAAAATTGCCCTTCTCTTTTTGTGAGAACAGCTTTTGGTGAAGTAAATTTTGACCAGGAAAAAAAAAAGAAAAAGGAGATTGTGTGTCCTTTTGCTGCTGCACTAAATATAGCTGTTTAGATGAGAATCTTCTATTCTTTCCTTCTTTTCTTGCCATTTTTCTTCAGAATTTTTCCAGCCATTCAACAGTTGTCTTAACTCTTTACATTTAGCACTTTTTAAAACTAGTGATCCCATTTCTTCTGTTTCATGTTAATAAGTGGTAAAAATTGCTACTCACACACCTTCATGCAATTTTTTTAATAAATTCCTTGCCATGTTCATCTAATGTGAATTTTCTGAGAGTGCTGAGCACAGAGAGGCAAGCAAGCAGTCACCTTGGCTCATTGCAGAGCTCAGCTGGCAATCAGAGCTCAGATAAGCATGCCGGGGGAAATTTCCTCCACTGAACTTGCTCACTTGAAAATCAAAGCTATGGGCAGGACTGTGGCAGGATTATACCACGGCTAGAGCAAGGCTCCAATGTCTCTGTAGTGTTGGTAGATCCAAGAGGACAAGATTGATGGGTTGACAGAAAGAGCATTTTTGTAGCTCTTTGCTGAGGCCACTCCTTGTTGCAGGCACAGCTTCATCAGATTATTCATTCAGATTATTATCTGATGGGTGTTCCTCCTTCCTCCAGCACATCTTGGAGTAGTTCAGAACTCCAGCATTCCTGGACAGTAGCTGTTGGGTACTTTTTGAGAACATGGAAAATATTGAGAATTAAACAGCTCATATTTCCTTCTTGTTCTCAGCCTGCTTTGCAGTGTGGCTATAAGCACAAAAGAATGCTTTATATGTCACAGAAATATTCTCAGTTAAACCTCAAAAAATGAAAAGAAAAAAGGCCCCAGAATTTAGCAGTAGACCCAAGTTAAATCCATCAAATCCTTATTCTGACTGGAGTGGAGCTGTTATAAAAATGTTGTCAAGGTTGAGCCCCACATTAGGTAAAGCACTTAGGAACTATTCCTAACAACTGCACGGCAGAGCTTTACTTCTGTTATTATTGTTATTTGTTTTTCTGAACCTAATTATAGATTCAGTTCACATGGCTGCATCCAAGTGATGGGAAACAGAACTTGTTTCATCAAATGTTTTCAAAGTCTTTAAAGCAAAAGGACTTTAATTTTTATTTTTTTTTTACTTTCCAATTTTTGTGGCAGAAGCTGTTTCTGTCAATATCACTTAAAATCACTTTAGTATCTTTAATATTACCATCTTCAGCCTCTAGTATATTTACTGCACTGCTGTAGTTCTTTCATTTGTTATGATTGAAAGAAGATAAATGTTATGTAAAACTTTGGATTAAATAAATAATGGAAATGCATGTCTTTTCAAGCATGTATCCCCAGTGAAGGAAATAAATGGTTCAAGTATCCCAATTACAGAAAGTTCTGATGTTTGTTCTTAAGTAAAAATTAGATATAAAAATATTTCAGTCTGTTTAAATCAAATTCTCATATCATGTTAAAGCAATAGCTGACATTTTAGAAATCCATTTATTTATTTATTAGTAACATTTCTTGTGGAGAAATACTGTGGAGTTTTACCTAAAAGGTACCCAAATGAAATCCAGTCCCCATCCCATGGAGATTGTACCAGATGGCCACTGTGGTTCCTTCCAGCTTTACCCATTCTGTGATCCTGCATGTTGCATTCTGGTAACTGCACCTTTGAAGTAGAACTTTTTGCATGGCTAAGCCATCACTGCTGAAATCAGAAGAGGAATTTTTTCCTTCATTAACAGTACTTTTTTTTTTTTTTCTTCCCTTTAAAGCAAGGAAAATGAATGCTTGAATGGGGTTGAAAATTTTGCAGTTTTCTTCCCACAAGGCTCCAGTTGTTCACAATATTTTGTTCTAACTGCTCTTGATTCAGAGCATAGCATAGAAAAATACAGGAGATACTGTTTGTGCTCATTATGGAGGAGCCTATTCCACCTGTTTTGAAGGAAGAACAAGAACAAAAAAAAAAAGTTAAAATTTGGGAATTACCTTTGACTTGTTTCTGAAAAATATGAAACACTTTTACATGCCAGTGAGAATTTTTTTCAAAAATCATGAAACATTTATGAAGACTTATATGGCTAGACTCTCCTTCTCCAGATTACTGGTGTGTAGGTCACTAAACCAGCTCTGATTTTATTGGATCAGAGACACATTGTTCTGTAAGTTTAAGCAAAGATTTTTTTCACTGGGTATTTTTTTGTAAACCATTATCTAAGTTATTGGGTTCAAATCCTGTTATTTTACCATTTATGTGTTAATTTTGATAAAATTAATATAAACTGGCTGCAATAGTTTTTTCTTGCTCTACCACTAACAGTGGTACATCTTTTACTGCCTTTTACCTAAAAGGTAATATGCCAATACATCAGCAAGTGGTATTTCCTGGCAGCCAAGTGGAATAACGTTTTGTACTTTCAGGTGATATTTCCTGGAGAATACTCAAGATTTCTCACTGTTTTCTTCTTCTCTGTATTGACAAAACCTACCTCTAGAAAGAGATATTTCCTGGCTCACATCCAAAGCTTTCAGTTGGAAAGTTTACCCTGAAGTGTGTAAGGTATTTTATTTTGCTGACGTATATATATATGGCTAAAAATCTTCAGGTTAATAATTTTGTGAAGTTTTAAGGTCACCTGGATAATTTGAAGGGATTGGAATTCTCAGTTTTAGCACACTTACAGAAGATGTACAGGCCATGTGCTGGCAGTGGTCATGTGTACTAAAGGGTTCCCATGCTCTTTTCTGACCACTATTTGGCTGTTGAAATTTTCCTATATGAAACACTGCTCCCCACTGTGTGTGTAAAGTTCTCATTCTCTCTAGGGATTCTTCATGCCAGCAAGTACTTTTTCCATCCTGGCTGACTTAATGAAAAGTATATACTAATGTAAAGAAAGAGCCATATATTTCTTTATTAAGCAATATTTCCTAATGACAAAATAAGCATGTTATGAGGTAATTTTAAGACAATTCTAAAGAGTGTATATGTTTTCATTACATTTTTACAGTGATTTTTATTTGCATGTGTTTAGGTCTGTTTAAGGTTATCTTTCTAGTCTTGATTGAAAGGTCATTTCTTGGTTAAAAATAATAGCACACCAGTTAATGATTCTGTACTTAAGCTAATTATACTGATGACCAGAAGCAGTCCTTTCGTGGTTTCTATGCACTTAGGCTTCCCCAACCTGAATCTGTCCAGAGAATTGGGTGTGAAGTCAAGCTCAAAGCCAGTCCCTGGTATGAAGCATTGCTTAACAGAAACATCTGTCCATGCAGTTCACTGCAAAGCCAGAAAAGATGACATAGAAATGAAAGAAGCTGCAGGAAAATCACCTGAAAAATGGTTTGAGGAAAAAAGAAAATGAGCATTTTTTGCTTATAGCATTAGTTTTAAAATTGTAAGCAAATAAATCATGTCTTGGCATTTAAAATTGTAAGCAAATAAATCATGTCTTGGCAATAAATTGCTATTGCTTAGTTAAACAAGATTTTGGGGTCCAGGGGTTATCAGGCAAACACACACAGTCATATCAAATAGCTCATTAATTCTATCATTTTTCCTTTCTGACTGTATCATGCCCAGTTACTACACAATAGTTCCCTCATACCACCAACCAAAAAAATTCCCTGAAAATTTTAAAATGTGGATTGCTTTTAACTTGTGCAACCTATTTGTTTCCTTGTTATGTATATCACAATTAGGCAAATTAAAAACACTTACCTTCTGCTTTGCCAGTGTTGATAGAACACTTTTTCTTACAGGCAATATTTAAGTGAACCTGCTTCCTATCAGTCACTTTATTTATTACATTTCAAAAATATTCTACCATTACTTTCAAGTATTTTTCTCCTTATTTCTTCTAATCCCTTTCTTAGGTGTAACTTAAGGACATCCTTCTAGCAGATGGGCTATAAAGGGACTGGTACATGTCACTCATACACCAGGGAATCTCATTGTAACCATCCCCTTTTGGCTGCTTGCTCAATACTCCGCTTCACTGAGATTTTCAAGGGTAAAGGTACAACCAGTCCTAGACTATTGTCTCTGTTTTCATGCAGTAAACCAACCCAAACATCAGGAATGTGTTCTTCAAAGGTCTGTTCCAAGGAAAAGGTTGAGGGGCTATGATTTGAGTGATATTTGGATTATTATTTGAATAACAGTGAAATGTTTGAACCAGCTGCTCTCTTTTGGTTAACCTCATTTCAGCACTTGGTTAAAATATGGTTGTCCTGTCCACATTAAAAGAGATTACTTTTCACATGCTGATTTATAGTATTGTGTTTTCAAAAGTACTTTAGAAGTAGTTTCAGAAAAGTACTAACAGATGGATGTTCTGACTTGCATATTGACGAGAGGCAGTCATACTCTTTGCAGGTACATAAATTCAGGCCAATTTGCTACACCTTTATTTATCAGCCTTTTCCTTTTCAGCTTCTTCTATCTTCAGTTAAGACTGGGGACAACAAAAAAGAAACAAACTTTTTTTTTTACCTTCTTTTTTCCCAGTGACACATTTAATCTCATCTGAAGACCCTGAAGGGTAACAATTCTTGCAGGAAACGTCTTAATTTTAAACTGAATGTCCACTAATAAAAAAATGATCTGACTATAATTGCTCTTTGTTTCTTGTCTGGAAAAGAGTAATTTTTTTTCTCCTCTCTTAACAGGTGGCCGTTGATGAGCGCATCAAGCAACTGCATGAAGCTCACAGGGATTTTGGCCCTACATCCCAGCATTTTCTTACCAGTGAGTGATTTCTCACTTCCCATTCTTCTTGTGCAGTTTACATACACTTTTAATTGATAATTTTGTAGCCAATTGCCAGTTGTTGTTGTTATGATTTTCTATTTTAGATTGTGTTACAATTGTTTTCTTTTTTTCCCCTGGGAGCAAAGGAATGTGATATAATTTCATATTGTCCTGGTCCAGAGTAAAAGGAAAACATCTGCCATTATCAACTCTCTTTGTCCCCACATCTATCTCTGCAAGACTCATCTTCATTGCTTGGGGGTTCCCTTTAGGTTTAGCAAATTACGTTAAAATGAGTTTCTGATTATTTTAACCCAGAAAGGATTAAAACCCCCTAAAAACCCCCAAAACAACACAAATTTGGTTTATCTGTTTAAAGAAATGTTCAGCTCCAGAAATGGGCAAAATAAGACCTGCAAGAAAAGTATTTTAGAGGATTTGATCACTTAGCAGAGCAGTGAGAGGATCAAAACCGGGGTGGGAAAGTTGGCAGAAGAATGGCTGCTAAATAAACTTTTTACAACTCTGCATAAAATATAATTGCCAGCAAAATTCTCACTTCACCTCCACACACATTCTTTTATCAAGGATGTTTTGAAGTACACTGAAAGACAACTTGAAACACCTTCAAAGCTCCGAGGCAGTGACTAAAGTGAAGCTTCTTAAAGGCCATGTCTTTTCTATTGTACTTCAATTAAGGAAAGTAAACAGTAAAGCTTTATTTAAGAGATTATATCAGCAGAACAGAACACAGTCACGGGATAATGGTCCCCTACATGCAGAGGGACAAGCTATCCAGACATCGGAAATAGATGTTGCTATTATTGCACAGCTACGTTCACAGTGGGATAGAGGACAAACTTTTCTTCTGCTGATACTGCATTGTCATTTTAATAGGTTAACCATTTTCCTGCTGAAGATCTCAATGGGAAATTGAAAATTCTCAGCAGGATGACCAGCAAAATCAAAACCAGGGTTGGTGTTGTGCCATATAAGACTAATGCAGGCTGATTCAACCCTGGACCTTTCTTTGTCAAATGGTGCTCCTATGGAGAAATAAGGCCTATTTTCATTATTTCTGTTTCAAACCCACTTTCCTGTAACTCTTGATCACTGGGAATATTTTATCAGCTCAATATATATAACTGCAAATCAGACTTGTCAAGACTGAATGTGCAAGAGTTACAAGTATGTGACATGAAAACAATGTTTAAGCAGATACCTGGTGTATTCATGGTGAAAGAATAAATTTGTAGGGTAAATTAAGCAAGCCTGGAAGAGACTAGAGTGACCTGCACTTCATTATCACAGTGCTCAAGGTGTCTGTTCTCTGTGCTGGTGTTGAGTACAGTCAGACAATGGGTGTGGTTATGTCCTAGGCCCATTCTTGTGTTATTATTGATCAACTAGATTGATCTAAAAGACAACCAGTGTTATTATAGTCACCTCTTTTAGCCCACCCCCCACCAGTGAGACATTATTCTTCTGTGTAACTAATTAGAGCCAGCAAAGTGTGGACATAATTCTGGACATTTCATGCCATTTGAGGATCACCACAGGAAAAGGAGCCAGGTGAAAATGTGTTGACTTTGGAAGTAGTCAAATCACTTAGAAAAATGGGCATTTTACGTTCTCTTACATGAGTGTGCAGATACATAATCTTACCCATGCATGCAAAAATTAGCTATTTGAAGCTCTGAAAACATCTGCAGAATCCTTCCTAGTCTAAAAGTTCAGTCACTGCAAACTGCCAATACATACATCAGTCCCATCTTTCATAAGCACCAAATTCCAAAAACATTCACTATCATGTATTATCACTATGCCTAGGGAAAATACCCTGCTTTGACATGTTTTTCATGTGCTACCTCTGCTGCATCCCTGCACATCTGTGAGACAGAGGGTGCAGGAGAGAGTGCCACAGTCTCTGCCATCCAGGACTAGTGTTTTTTTCTGTAGCTGTTGTTTTTGGGGTGAACAAGTCAGACATAAAGGTTGACAAACAGAATCAGGCAGGTCATCTGAAGGTGAACTTAATGGCTTGTAAATTAGGTTTCAGTACATGGCAGACAGAGTCCAAGTTGATCAGTCTGTGGCAACAGCAGAGAAAAGATTAATCATAGCAATTTTTATGGTTTTATTTTATAAGCTCAAAACTCACAGAGCATTTTTTATCTAAGGAGCTGAGATATACATGAGATCAATGCAAACTGAAATCTGTAAGGAAAATAAGCAATCTCTTGGCTGTTGCATATCTGGTTTATATGCCAGTAATAATCAGTTCATTCTCCCTAACTGAGAATCAGCTTGCCTTGTTCCATACACACTTGCTCATCCTTAGGTGCAAAAAATAATACCTGTTTATATGCCTATATGAAAAATTATCCTTTTATAGTTGATATTCCTTTAAGTAGTTCTGTAAAAATGCTGGTACTGCAGCCAAGGTCACATAAAATCAGTGACTGAATTACTCTGAAATCAGTGACTGAATTTCTCTCCTACGTGAAAGAAGTAAATATGATCTGCTAATCATGGTAACTTTTCATGTGTTTGTTATTATTTTATACATAGAAATTATAGCATCATCTATCTTTTTCTGCTTGATTGAAACTGAAGCTGCATTGGGCTTTTGAAAACCTAGCACAAAAGTAGTGGGGGAGTGATGCAGGGACCTCATATTTGTCATGCCCTGTGAGACAAGGAATCAAGTGGTAGTCCCTGTTTCTAAGCATTTGCAGCCTGTTCTAAGGGCTATTCATAGAGCTATTTCTGAAAGAGATTGGAAAGGAGGTTTGAGCTAGAGAGATAAGGAGTGTAAAAACAAAACCAAAAAGTACTCTTATTTGTGGCATTTTTAAATTAGAGACAGTGCTTCTCCATTGTTTTTTTCATGCAGTTTAGCATTCTTTTTCCACTCTTTCATCTTTTAAATGACCAGGTGCCAGTGTTTATCAATGCTGTGGCATGGGATAATTCAGATGTCTCCTGGTTGTAAGTTAAAGAGATAGTGTCAAATGGGATCCACTTGTTTCTCTCTCCATCAAGGCTTCAGTGGGCCTCAAGTATAAAATACTCTTATCAAAACTGGCCCTTACTTTTCACATGAACTTGTCTTTCTCCAGGCCTTCTACATTTTTTAATGGTAAAATTAAAACCCCCAATCTTTGAGCTTCTGACCTTCATGCTTTCCCAAACTCATTTTGCTCTGCCAGTGTCCACAGAGCCAGTCCCAGCTCCAGCTCAGTTCATCCCTTGCCAAGGACACACAGCATTTGCAAGAGTTAAGATACATCTACTGAATGTTTTACATGGGCAAGACTTTATATCATGAATTTGTGGAGTGAGTTTGTTGGTTTTGAAGGACTTGCTGTTTAATTAGGATTATCTAAATCAGGGTGTAAAAACACAGCAAAAATAAGAGTTTTCTACTAAAGAGAAACTTGTAAATATTTAGCAAAGTAATTAAAAGAAAAATCTGTGATCCTTTCATGGATGATGATGCTTAATTTGGGAATTATATACAGTAACTGAGGTGTGAAAAAGAGTATCTGCAAATTTTAAACATAATGCCAGCTCCAAAGTTTTCAGTGACTCCTCTGAAATAATTTTACTGTTTTGACTTCACTTTATTTTTCTCTGTGATTCTGTCTCTTACAAAAAATGAGATTCATTGTCTCTTGTAGGAAGACCTATCTATGTCACAATAGCTATTACTTTTTTCTGAGATGCAATAAATGAGAGGTAGCACTGATGTCAGATTGTTTCTCATATCATTTGCAGTGCTATTCAGCAATCACTCATACTTTTTAATGGCATACTTCATTCATGTGCATCGCTGATGATTGCTGAAAAATACGTGTTACATCTTTTAAAACCATGAGCAAACCTTGTAATTTACTGTCCAGCCCCAGTATGAGCCATCTTTTAGTAAAGTATAGCATGTCAGTGAAGTGACTGCATGAAACGTGCATGCTCACGGTATAACTGGCAATTACTTAAGAGTGTGACTGGAAGATTCCAGTGGTTTCCAAGCTCATGGACTTTCACCAATATGAAAAACCTGGGAATACAAGGAACAGAAAGAATATTTAGGTTTACAAGGCTAAAAGGCTGATATATATACACCCATAGCCAAAATTTTGTGATTCACATTTCCCAGGCTATGAGCTTTTGCTGCCTGCATACGTCAGTACCAGATTGTTAAATCCTCACACCTAAATATGTGCTAGGACCTGGAGATACCTAACAGGAGATGTGCCTTTCAGTTTTGGACTCGTAAGAGCAGGATAAAATTCAACACAAGATGAGGCAGCCTAAGCAGCTTTCATTCAGAAACAGAAAGATGACGAATGCTGGAGCCACCAGTTTGTGTTGCAAGTGATCAGAGTGCATCTGCTGCATTTTATATCAGATAATGGTTGCTTAAGAATAAAAATTACAGTGATGGGATTGGGCTGTGTAACCTAGGTCTCTCAGGATAGGCTCAGAGCTGTTCAGGTTCAGATCTGAGTCTTTTTTCTTCTTATTTCTGTGCCTTTGTGTTCTCCTTCAGTTGTTTAGACCACTCTCCTGAGAATCTGGAGATGTGGCTCTGAATTCCCTCAAGCTGGGAGAGGAGTCAAGTACTCACTTCTCCCACCTTCTGTGTGAGTGCTCAGATTATTATGCAAAGCAGAGACTAGGGAAGCTCTTGCACAGGCAGATGTCTTTAAAAGGGCAAGCCCTGCTAATTGAGACATCCAAGTCTAAAAGAGAGAGGGCTCTGTGACTCTTAGGACACTTTACCAATCCATCTGATAGATTATTTTCCAGTGCAAGCAACTGTACCTTTCTCTTTTATTTCTCATTGCATACATTATATCATATTGTCTTTCAGATATACTCTTGACAAAAAAACATTGAAGACCATGTCCATTCATCCACATCCTTTGGAAAAATGGTTTAATATTTTTATATACCACCAGAAGTGTTTTAATAGAAAATATCACCTGGTAGTT